AGGGGGACAGCTTGAGGCTCTGTCTCAAAAAAAAAAAAAAAAAAAGAATACAAGTGAAAGGCAGCGCCTGTGTCTCAATACCTAGGGTGGGCAGGTTCGAACCCAGCCCGGGCCTGCTAAGCAACAATGACAACTGCAACCAAAAAAAATAGCTGGGCATTGTGGTGGGCACCTGTAGTCCCAGTTACTTGGGAGGCTGAGGCAAGAGAATCACTTAAGCCCTGAAGATGGAGGTTGCTGTGAGCTGTGACTTGATAGGGGCAACAAAGTGAGACTCTGTCTCAAAAAACAGAACACAAGTGAAACTGCCAGACCATCAGGGGTATGCATATAGGAAAAGCCACCAGGTATTTGAAGGATGTGTCACTTTAAAGAAACAGTGTGGACTGGGCATGGTGTCTCACGCCCTATAATCCTAGCACTTGGGAGGCTGAGGCAGGTGGATTGCCCGAGCTTAAAGGTTGGAGACCAGCCTAAGCCAGAACGAGACTCGTCTCTAAAGAAAAAAAAATTGCCTGGTGTTGTGGTGGGCGCCTGTAGTCCCAGGTACTCGGGAGGCTGAGGCAAGAGAATCGCTTGAGCCCAAGAGTTTGAGGTTGCTATGAGCTATGACACCATGGCACTCTACCAAGGGAGACAAAGTGAGACAAGAAAGAAAAAGGAAAGGAAAGAAGGAAGGATCATTCCAATGTTACAATGGTAGAGTTGGTAGGTGTGGACACAGGGTCAGTGGCCCAGAAAGAGTGCTGGATTTTTGCTGCACATGCCCAAAAATTCATAGAATAATACTGAACTTAAGGGTTTAGATGTAGATTCTCTGGTCATTGAGCATATCCTGGTAAACAAAGCACCCAAGATGTGTAACAGACCTTAAGGGAGCTCATGGTTGCATTAAGCTCCCCCCGCCACATAAAGATGATCCTTACTGAAAAAGAACAAATTGTTTCCAAACCGTAAGAGGAGTTAGCACAGAAGAAAAACATATCCCGGAAGAAACTGAAGAAACAAAAATTTATGGCTTGGGAATAGATGTAACATAAAATAAATCCAAAAAACAGTAAAAAAAACAAATAGTTTTTTTGTTTGTGTTTGATAATGACTATAATTTATTAGTAGTGAAATAAATATAAATAATTTTAAAATTATATATATGTATATATTGGGGAGTGCTCCAATACTCCCAACAAATTTATTGGGGGGCTGCCCCAACAATATTGCTAAGATGAGTGTATGTCACTGCAACAGAATAGACAAAGCCAGGCACTGTGATATCCCTATCCTTAGAGAGTTAGAGTGTACTGGGGAAAATTAACTTTTTACTTTTATTTTATTTTATTTTATTATTTTTTTGAGACAGGAGCGTCAAGCTGTCCCCCTAGTAGAGTGCCATGGCATCACAGCTCACAGCAACCTCCAACTGCTGGGCTCAAGTGAGTCTCCTACCTCAGTCTCCCGAGTAGCTGGGACCACAGGTGCCCGCCACAATGCCCGGCTATTTTTTTTTTTTTTTTTTTTTTTGCAGCTGTCATTGTTGTTTGGTGGGCCAGGCTGGATTCGAACCGGCCACCTTGGGTGTACGTGGCTGGCGCCTTAGCCACTTGAGCCACAGGCGCCTAGCCAAAATTAACTTTTTAAGTATAAATAACCATGGTAGATCAATTCATACCACAGATCAGTTCATGATTATTTTTCCTAAATAAACTGCTATAGAAGGAGAAGCCACGGGCTCTACTTTGCCGTAGGCTGAGGACGACCCTGCTCCGGTTGAACGCGGCCGGCCGGGACCTGCGGGCGGAGGCGGCGGCGGCGCAGCTCTCGGAGCCCGCGAGGCGGCGGCGCGACGCGGGGAGGCGGCAGCGCCTCTCCATGCACCAGCGCCCCCAGATGCACCGGCTGCAAGGGCTGTTCCAGCGCGTCGGCCTCTCTGCTCCCCGCCGCCCGCAGCCTCGCGTCTACGTGGGACACAGACAGCTTCACACCGCTGGTGCTCCGGTGTCCGAGAAACCCAAGAAGGGTGAGGCTTAGAGCCATGTTCCTGATAAAACTAAAACACTGGGAGGGATTGATATACCGTCACGTTTTCCTCACTGCTTCATTCCGCCCACCGCTCCATTTTGTTCTTTTGTTCTCACTCTTTCCTTTGTGCCTCCCCCAAATCTTTTGTTCCTGAGTGAGATGTTAGGTTCGAGATTCGCAATTCCCCATGGAGTACTGCTGAGGGGACAATCAGACAGCGGGAAACGGGAACTTTGCTGTTTGATTCCGCATGGGACTAGAAGAGCCAGAGCTTACATTGATTGCACAGGTGTGAGTGGAGTGACCCTGTGCACATCTGAGCTGTGTAGGCAGGACACCCAGGATTTCCAGACCAGCTGTGCCTGTAAAGCTGGGATTCTTAGCCTTTCGGGGAAGTGGACTACTTTGAAATCATGATCAAAGCTAAGGCCCTTCTCCTGAGAAAACAGCACACACACCTAGATAAACCACATGATTTCCATAGGTTCAGAGATTACCAAAGCCCATTCCTGAAGTCTAGGCATAGAGGTCAGGCTGTAATTTATTAGCATCAGTTATAATTTCTCCTCTTCCTGTTTTCCTCAGAAATGGCTTTGCGATTCATTTTGAGTTCAGTCTTTGTTTGCCTGCTGTGAAACCTAAAGTTGAATGTCCAGAGTAAAGGCATTCCATTTCCATGGACATAAAAGTCAAGGATCAGTAGTCTAGGAAAAGGAAATGTACACGCAGCACTAGGGCGCTGGCCCCATATGCCGGAGGTGGATTCAAACCCAGCCCCAACCAAAAAAAAAAAACAAAAAAAACCCCAAAAAAACCCCACCAAACTTATTTATTAATAAATACTTATTTTGTAAAGAATGGGGCTATGCTTTCAAGTTTCCTGCTCCAGACAACCAAAATTTTGCCAAAACAGCTGTAAGTAGAGAAAATCAGTGTCTAAATTCAGTTCCATTTGAAAATTTAAAGGTCACCATGGGCTGGGTACCTTGGCTAAAGCTAGTAAACCTAGCACTTTGGGAGTCTGAGGAGGGTGGATCGCCTGAGCTCACAGGTTTGAGACCAGCCTGAGCAAGAGCCAGACCTCGTGTCTCTAAAAATAGCTGAGTGTTGTGGCAGGCACCTGTAGTCCCAGCTACTCAGGAGGCTGAGGCAAGGGAATCACTTAAGCCCAACAGTTATAGGTTGCTGTGAGCTATGATGCCATGGGATTCTTTATTTCCTTTTTTTTTTTTAAAAGACAGAGTCTCACTTTTTCCACCCTTGGTAGAGTGTGGTGGTGTCACAGCTCACAGCAACCTCCAGCTCTTGGGCTTAGGAGACTCTCTTGCCTCACCCTCCCAAGTAGCTGGGACTACAGGCGCCCGACACAATGCTGAGCTATTTTTTGTGTTGTTGCAGTTTGGCCGGGGCGGGGTTTGAACCCACTACCCTTGGTATAAGGGGCTGGCGCCCTACTCACTGAGCCACAGGCGCTGCCCAACACCATGGGATTCTACCTAAGGTGGCAAAGTGAGACTCTGTCTCAAATAAATAAATAATTAATAAATAGCACTATGATTCTGTACTAGGCTCTAGAAATACAGATATGTTAGATTTAGACACAAAATCCCTGGCAGACAAGCTTTCACCTTTCTTTTTTTCGTCCCATTTATGCTTGCTCACTTGAGAGTATGTAGTCCTGTTGCACTTAGGGAATCTGTAGTGACAATTTTGTGTAAGATTAAAGGGAACCTCTTCTCTGGAAACTGTTACCATGTAAGGATTTGCCCTGAGTCTCAAGGTTCCATCCAGCACTTGGTGTTCTAGTTTCAGCCCTCAGTATTCTGGAGGGTACTATTGGCCAGAGTCTGCATCTTCTGCCTAAACTTTCAGGGTCGAGGGACAGGCTAAGCTACACAGCCCCTCCTACGTTTAAGGAGCACGTGACAAATGAAAACAACAGAGGTGAAATGTCTGGTGAACCCAGTGAACCGTAAGTTCCTTTTATTTATCCCCTGCGTTTACTCCTGCCTCTTTAATTAGAAATACATCGTTTGTTGGTGATTTAGTCTTTCCAGCATATGCGGAGAAGATGAAAGTCCACTCTAGGTCAAATTCTAACTTTCTTGCTTAAAAATGAAAAATAAGCCTCTCTCTGTCTTCTCAGGAGAGGAAAATAAAGACCCCTTTTCCAATGTATGGTAGTCTGTCTCTTTCCCTTCATATTTTTGTGCTTTAGGTCTTAATTCATTTTTGTTTCTTTTTGATATTTGAAAGCTATATTTTGTGTGCTTATCCTCCATGTGTACCAAATTACTGACTCCTTTGACTTTTTATACATGTGAGAGCTCAATTCTAAATCCCTGTAATTGCAGTTTCTAATTATCCTTTTTGTGTTTAATGCTCCCAATTCTAACAATATACTTTCTTAAAGAAAGCCCTAAGTATGTTTGAATTCATGGGTCTATGCATGTCAAACAGTGCCCACATTATGGCCAGCAATACTGTGCAAGTGGAAGAACCACCCAAGTCTCCTGAGAAAATGTGGTCTAAAGATGAAAATTTTGAACAGAGAAGATCATTGGAGTGTGCTCAGAAGGCCGCAGAACTTCGGTGAGAGCATGGCATCCCATGCCCTAAACCATAATGAACTGAAAAAATAAGAGGTTCTTATTTACACCTTTCCTCTAGCTCAGAGGAAAAGAGAATGTTTGGCATTAAATTCAATCTGAGAAGTAAACCTGGAGTGCCTTGTAGGTTTAGAAATAGATTAGTCAGGCAGTGCCTGTGGCTCAAAGGAGTAGGGCGCCAGCCCCATATGCCAGAGGCGGCCAGTTTAAACCCAACCCCGGCCAAAAGCTGCAAAAAAAAAAAAAAGAAAAGAAAAGAAAAGAATAGAGATTAATCTAAGGGAGAGGCTTGTGTATAGTAGATAATTTGCTGTTTCACTTCATAGAAGGAAAACTTTTTTTTTTTGAGACAGTCTCACTTTGTTGCCTTCAATAGAGTGAATGGAGTCATGGCACCTTCTTCTTTCTGCAGAGCTTCCATTAAAGAGAATGTAGAGCTGATACGACTTAAGAAGCTCTTACATGAAAGGAACACCTCATTGGTAGAGACAAAAGCACAATTGACAGAAGTACAAGAGGTGAGTTGCCACCATCGGGGTGCTTTCTTGGGGGGAAACCCCGATGAATGAATAGGTTAGTCTTATTTTCTCCATCTTACATATGGGCCAATGAAATTCAAAGAGACTAAGTTACTTGTCCAAGGTCACACAACTTAAAGCTGGCATTTGAATCCAAGCCTTGCAACTCAGAGTTCATTCTTTTTCCAGTACTTCCCATTATTTCTCTATTGGGAAGAAGGCTCAAGCTTTCCCTGCGATGGTAGAATTAAGTGGTGTTAACTTGTGTCAGGGTTAAGGTCCCAACCAACCACCACTCCTGAAACATAATTAAACTGGGAAGCCAAGAGCAGTCACAGGGGAGGGAAAGGAGACCAGCCTCTACTTAGCACTTTTTATGTCCTGGACCACGTCCCAGGTACTTACAGTCAAGATCTCATTTTAGCTTGACCACAACTTTCAAAGTACTTTTAGCAGATGAGGGAACTTCAAAGAAGTTAAGTAACTTTCCCAAGCCATAAAAATAGTAAGGAGCAGAGAAGGTTGCTGTGAGCTGTGATGGAACAACACTCTACGGAGGGCAACATAGTGAAACTCTATCTCAAAAAAAAAAATAAATAAATAAAAATTATAAAACCGAAAGGAGAAATTATTCTGGCAGCAGCATGCATGATAGGTTGGCTGATACAAGACCAGAGGCAATGGAATCAGGTAGAAGACTGCTGTAGAGGTTCAAAGGAGGGTACCAAGTAAGGAGTGAGACAGTCCTGCAGAGAAAGGAACCTTATTGGGAAAGATCCAGAAGGTAGAACAGGCATCCTCACCTCACCAAACAGGAGTGAGGAAAAGGGAAAATTAAAGGTGACTGCTGGGGGCCAGGTGGGGTGGCTCACACCGTAATCCTCCTAGCACTCTGGGAGGCCAAGCTGGGTGGATTGCTTGAGCTTATGAGTTCAAGACCAGCCTGAGTGAGAGTGAGAGCCTGTCTCTACTAAAATCAGAAAAACCAGCTCAGCTTTGGGGAAAAAAAAAACAAAAAGAAAACGATGATTGCTGGGTTTCTAGCTTGGGTGATTAGATAATGGTGGTGCCATTCATTGAAACTGGATCTAGCTACAGTGAGTGCTGCCCTTGGCATGTCTATTCTGATACAGGCTGCTGGATCTTTATATGGCCAACTTCCAAACTGACCTAGTTTTCTCATTTTTAAAGTTTAGATAATGATAGTTACCTCTCACATTTGCTTACCAAGGACTAAGTGAGATCACATGTGTGAAACATGTATAATGATCATAATGTATCAGATAATGAAACACATATGTGTAGTACCATGTAACACAGAGTAACTACTCAACTAATAGAAGCTGTTGTTATGATTATTGCTGTTTTTCTCTCTCTAAGACTGAAAAGAGACCTTTCTGAAATATGCTGAGTAACAGATAATATTAAGTTTAAGATTAAATATTTTTCTTGGATAAACCACTAAGTACAATACAAATGTAAATAAATGACCCTTCATTCTTTTTTGAGAAATTGTATAATTGATTGCATTCATAGACTATCTGGCAAGCTAGGGCAGAGGAAAATAACAGCAATTAGTAAATGGGTACATAAATTGACTTGATTTGTGGGATTTTTATAATGTATTTTAAAATAAATATTAAGACTGGGTGCGGTAGCTCATGCTTGGAATCCTAGCAGTCTGGGAGGCTGAGGCAGGTGGATTGCCTGAGCTCACAGGTTTGAGACCAGCCTAAGCAAGAGTGAGACCTCGTCTCTAAAAACAGTTGGACGGAAAGTATTTCAAATTCTATATAAAACAAGCACGCTCTACCCCATGACTGCATTAATGTACACAGCTATGATTTAATAAAAAAATTAATTAAATTAAAATTAATTAAAAAAATAAAAACAGCTGGACATTGTGGTGGGCACCTGTAGTCCCAGCTACTTGAGAGACTGAATCAAGAGAATCTCTTGAGCTCAGCAGTTGTAGGTTGCTGTAAGCTATGAGGCCGTGGCACTCTATTAAGGGCAATAAAGTGAAACTCTGTTCCCTCCACCTAAAAAATAAACTAAGCATTAGAATTACAGAGAAAAATCAAGCATCATAAAATTGATAAATCAATACAATAATCTTTCTTTCTTTCTTCCAGGCACATGAAACCTTGCTTCAAAAGGTAATTTTAAAAAATTTGAATCCTTGTTTTTTAGTTACCATAGTAATCAAATCCAAAGAAATCTATAGGTGACTACCTACAATATAACACCAGAATTTAGCTAACTAAATCAAAATTATTATGTCATATAATTTCTACTAAGAAAAATGATATTGGCTTGGCACTTGTGGCTCAAGGGGCAAGGTGCCAGCCACATACACCTAAGGTGGCGGGTTCGAGTCCAGCCTGGGCCCGCCAAACAACAATGATGGCTGCAACCAAAAAATAGCTGGGCATTGTGGCGGGCGCCTGTGGTCCCAGCTACTTGGGAGGCTGGGGCAGGAGACTCACTTGAGCCCAGGAGTTGGAGGTTGCTGTGAGCTGTGGTGCCACGGCACTCTACCCAGGGGAATAGCTTGAGGCTCTGTCTCAAAAAAAAAAAGGAAAGAAAAGAAAAATGATGTTATTCACATCAAAAGATACTTATTGAATCATTTACATAAAAATCGAAATATAAGGCTTGGCACCTGTAGATCAGTGGTTAGGCGTCAGCCACATACACTGGGCTGATGGATTCAAAACTGGCCTGGGCCTGCTAAACAACGACAACAATGACAACAAAAAATAGCCAGGCATTGTGGCAGGTGCCTATAGTCCCAGCTATTTGGGAGGCTGAAGCAAGAGAATCGCTTAAGCCCAAGAGTTTAAGGTTGCTGTGAGCTGTGACACCATGGCATTCTACCAAGGGCGACATAGTGAGACTCTGTTTCAAAAAAAAAAAAAAAGGTGGTGCCTGTGGCTCAGAGGAGTAGGGCACCGGCCCCATATGCCAGAGGTGGTGGGTTCAAACCCAGCCCTGGCCAAAAGAAAACTGCAGAAAAAAAAAGAGAAAGAAAAAAATTGAAACATGAGGTCTGAATTGAGAAATGTTTGGAATGATATTTTCAACCTACTGCTAGGGCAAATGCTAGCAATTACTCAAAAATCCTGAGTATTCTGCCAGCATTTGTGAGGTGTTGAGATATGACAAAGTTGTTACAGATATTGTGTGATGATATTAAATGTTTGGCCCCTATTCACCACTGTGAGTGGGGTGCAGGTAAAGCTGGGTGAATGTCCGATTAAGAATCATCAAGGCAGGGCTGTTCCTGTGGCTCAGTGGGTAGGGTGCTGTCCCCATTTACCAAGGGTGGCAGGTTGGCCCTGGCCAGCTCAAACAGCAGTGGCAACTGCAACAAAAATACCCAAGCGTTGTGGCGGGCACCTGTAGTCCCACCTACTTGGGAGGCCTTGGCAGGAGAATCGCTTAAGCCCAAGAGTTGGAGGTTGCTGTGAGTTGTGATGCCACAGCCTTCTACCAAGGGTGATAATGTGAGACTCTGTCTCAAGGAGAAAAAAAAAAAAGGAATCACCAGGGCAGAGTTCCAAGCATGACCAGCTACAACTATGCCTCACCAGAGGAACCCATCTGAAAAATGTACATAACTTCTAGAATAAACATATCAATTTTCTAAGTGCATAAACTTTTCTATCTTCATAAAAAAAAATCAAATGGCTAAGAAATTTAAGGCAACATTGGAAGGTGGGACCTATCTTAGAGCCAGGCATTAATTTGGTCCTTTAGAAAATTAAGGCTTCAATCCTCACTAATAGGAAAGTTACACTTCCAGAGAAATGCTAAGGTGAAAAGCAAGGTCAACTTGCTGTGCAAAGGCAACATGCCATTAATCAGTCATCCTTCCAATCATTAGGTGGTAAGGCAAAAAAATAAAAAAATAAAAAATCAAAGTCATACCTTGTGACCACTCCGAGGGATTGCTAGGGCTGGTGGTATCTGGTGACCACTCCTGTGGAGTGATATGACCATTCCGAGAGCAATTTTCCTTTTGCCCCAGAAGGAGGGAATCCTGAGTGCAGCCCACGATGCTCTCCTCAGTCAAGTGAAGGAGCTCAGGGCAGAGCTGAAGGAGGAAAGCAAGAAGGCTGTGAGCTTGAAGAGCCAGCTGGAAGATGTCTCTATCTTGCAGATAACTTTAAAGGAGGTAAATAATGATAGTTGGAAAATGCCACAAATTGTGCTGCATTTCAGTTTCAGAGATGTTAGAATATGGATTTTAGCAACAATATGGGTATTTTATTTTTTCAGATGACAAAAATGAGGCTTTAAGTGGTGAAATAATTTGCTTAAGATTATAGCGGTAGGCTTGGCGCCTATAGCTCAACCGGCTAAGGCGCCAGCCACGTACACCTAAGGTGGCGGGTTCAAATCCCCAGCCCGGACCCGCCAAACAACAACGACGGCTGCAACCAAAAAATAGCCGGGCGTTGTGGCGGGCGCCTGTGGTCCCAGCTACTTGGGAGGCGGAGGCAGGAGACTCGCTTGAGCCCAGGAGTTGGAGGTTGGATTGTCTGAGCTCACAGGTTCTGGCTTGCCTGAGCCAGAGAGAGACCCTTACATCTAAAAATAGCTGGGTGTTGTGGTGGGTGCCTGTAGTTTCGGTTACTTGGGAGACTTAGGCAAGAGAATTGCTTGAGCCCAAGAGTTAGATGTTGCTGTGAGCTATGACTCCACAACACTCTACTGAGGGCAACAAAGTGGGATTGTCTCAAAAATAAAGAAAGAAAAAGATTATACCATTGAAGGAGAAGCTGGGATTTATGCTATTCTCCAAAGTCTGTGTGCTCTTTTATAATGTTCTTCTGTTTCTCATTAATGATGGAAACGCAGACACAATGATAAAAAGTTTTTAGCCCATCTTCCTCTGATGTAAGTCTATAGTGAAATGGCTCCTCATAAACACTGCAGAGGGATGTAGGAAAGCTCTCATTCAAGCCCCACCCTGCCATAGAAAATGGAAAACCTGGGCCAGGCAAGGTGACTCACACCTGTAATCCTAGCACTCTGGGAGGCCGAGGCAGGTGGATTGCCTGAGCTCACTGGTTCAAGCCCAGCCTGAGCAAAAGCAAGACCTTGTCTCAAAAAAGAAAAAAAAAAAAAAGAGATAGCAGCATTGTGGCAGGCATCTGTAGTCCCACCTAGTTGGGAGGCTGAAGCAAGAGAATTACTGGAGCCCAAGAGTTTGAGGTTGCTGTGAGCTATGACATCATAGTACTCTACTGAGGGCAACAAAATGAGACTCTGTCTCAAAAAGAAAAAAAGAAAGAAAAGAAAATGGAAAACCTGTGCAGGGCAATAGATTTAAAAAAAAAATTATCTTAAGGAATCTGCTATCATTCTTAGTTTCAGGAGAGAATTGAAGATCTGGAAAAAGAACGAAAATTGCTGAATGAAAATTACGACAAACTCTTAGAAAAGTGAGTACCATATTTGAGTCCCAGAGCATCGTTTGCAGGAAAATACAATTATAAAAAGTGCCCTCTGGGTGGCACCGGTGGCTCAAAGAGTAGAGTGCCAGCACCATATACCAGAGGTGGCGGGTTCAAACCTGGCCCCGGCCAAAAACTGCAACAACAACAACAATGCCCTCTGTGGCTCGGTGCTCACAGCACAGTGGTTATGGCATTGGCTGCAAACACCGAGGTTGGGGGGGTCGAACCCTGTCCAGGCCAGCTAAACGACAATGGCAACCGCAACAACAACAAAAAATAGTGGGGTGTTGTGGTGGGCACCTGTAGTCTCAGGTACTTGGGAGGCTGAGGCAAGAGAATCACTTAAGCCCAGGAGTCGGAGGTTGCTGTGAGCTGTGATATCACAGCACTCTGTGGTGTGGCCCCAGCTTGAGGCTCTGTCTCAAAAAAAGAGAGTGTCTTCTAAGCTGGGCACAGTGGCTCACACTTGTATGTAATCCTAGCACTCTGGGATTGACGCAAGTGGATTGCCTGCTCTTAGGGGCTGAATACCAGCCTGAGTCAGAGCAAACCCTGTCTTTAAATAATAGCCAGGCGTTGGGGCGGCACCTGTGGCTCAAGGAGTAGGGCGCCAGCCCAATATACTGGAGGTGGTGGGTTCAAACCCGGCCCCGGCCAAAAACTGCAAAAAAAAAAAAAATAGTCAGGCGTTGTGGC